TTTGTGTTTCCTCAAGGAACCCAGCTCATAAGTTCTGTCACTTCAGTTGCTCTCAATTCTCCTTTGCCATTAGATAAGCCAGTCACTGTTCAGTTAATGCATTGTGCTAGCATTACTGATCAATCTCAGAGCAAGTATCTCAGTTTTGCTGTCTCACATTCTGTTCAACCTCCATTGAAGTTTGATCTCTTACCAGGAGGGGATTTCCTTGCTGGTTCCAAATATGGTACCATACAAGTAAAGAAGTTCTCATTGATTGCTATTGTATTGGTGGTGTCAGCAACTGCAGCAATTGCAACTGCTATTGGATGTAAGTTCAATTAATTTTTAATTAGACCTTTTTGAATTAATTAGATCAAATTTGGCAAGTTCCTTTACTGAGATGTCAAGGATTGATATATTACAAAAGAGAGTTTGAGAACATGAAAATGAATTTTGCAGTTTTAAATGACCTTCCTCACAATGATGCAATCATCAAGTTTAAAGTAAATTTCTGCATGCATCTCAATGTAGTTTTCAACAATCAATACTTTAGAAGGAGTCTTATAAGAAGTTTGGAGAAGAGGAATGGAATTTTCCTTTTCAGATGAGAACTGATAGCCAACTAGAGCTTCATTTTCCTGAAGATAAGCCAATTGGATGGACAGTACGACCACTTAGAATACCTCCTACAGTAATGAAATAATTATAGGTTTTAAAAAGCATGATGTAATATGATTTGATTATAGATACATGAGAGAGATGTATGTGCTTATACTGAGTCCAAGACCTCAAGTGACCTTCCTCCATATATTTCTGTAATACTGCGAGCAACAGCAACAGCTGCTGAATGGCTTGACTATGAAATCACTGTCAGTGGAATCAATATAGACAAGAAAGACAGTATTGCTATTGTAGTACATAAATCAAGGAATGTATGCGGTAAGTTTGTAATATAATATGAATACATTATAAATTAATGGTTCTACTTTTAGCTTCACCTTTAGTACCTTCATTGGAAGTAGCCCCAGCTGTTTTTGAAAAATCAAATAAAGGTATATTGTGTGCATTAACAATAACAAATTAACAATCTAGTACAGCTTCTGAGGTATTTCGAGAGAAAATCCCCACACTAAGCTCAATCATTGGCTCTGGCACTAGCACTATCTTTGATAGAATCAGTGACGAGTTTCTTGGTGCAGGACTTATCAGTCAATCAATACTCGATGACATCACTACAGTACCTAGTTACTCCAATTATCAAAGAGGCAGTAGATTAATTCGTGAGCTGCATAAAAGGCTGCAAACAATAGATGCACCTAATGATAACCTCATTGCAGTGTGTGACATACTCACCAGACAAGAAGATGAGCGATTAGTTCAGATTGGTGAAGATATGAAGAAAAATGCACCTCATGCTGTTTGAAGCTAATTCTTATAACATTAATAAGTTAACAATTAAGACATGTTTGTTTAATTACAGTTACTAAAGACACATAGAAAACTATGTTGCTATTACATGTACAAGAGCTTTGAAAATGTCCAAATTAATGGCAAATAGATTTCGTGAATATTTTCATATACCTAAAAATATAGAAAGGATTACAGCAACTAAAGTAGTGCAGCTTTTTCTTTACTTTATTGATTCCTCCACTTGCATCTCCAATTCTAGTGTACTTATTATTATGTGTACTAATAGTGGTACTAATGTAATCAACATTGAGGCAAGTATAAAAATAAGAAATTAAGAACTGAAACAATTTTGATTGGAATCAGTTCAAACTTTTTCACAACATGTATATGTATCAGAAAAAGTATACTAACTGAATATATTCATTATCTGTAAATTGTTTCCTCATTTTAAAAGATGATGCAACAAACCACAAAAAGTACTATAATTTACAGCTTTAAAAATAAAATAAAAAAATTATTATGCAAGACTACTATATAATAGTACCACTAATCTAATTTAGAAAATTTTATTAATAGCTGTGATAGACTAATACATACATACTTTTACAATTCTATTGTATTGTCATCATCATCAGACTCTTCTTTTTCAGCTCTTTCCTTTTCTACGACTGCAACTTCAAATTCTTTGGCAAGCTCGTCCAAAGAAAATATTTGTATCCTTTTGTTTCCAGAATCCACAACTACCAGTTCCTTTTCAAGACAAACGGCAATTCCAGTTGGTTGATTAAACATTCCTGGTTCAGCACCAAATTGACCGAATCTTAAAATATGTTGTCCTTCCTTTGAAAAGACAGAAATGCAATGTTGCTTTCTTTCAGACACTGCAATGTTGTCATTTGGTAAGATTACAACTTGAAACGGGTCGAAAAGGACACCCTTTTTCCTGGCATCAACATCAATATCCCAAAGAGGAGAACCGCTGGTACTTATTTTATTGAGATTTCTGTCTTGTGAAGTTGCAACTACTAGATAGCCATCCTTGTAAGCACTGAATGCAACAAGGTCTGCCCATAATGTCTAGCTTATTCACAAACTGACCATTTTGTTTGAAGCAGGAGATGAAGGCTTCTCCATGTTTCTTTGTTACTGCATAGATAAAAGTTTCCTCTCCTCTAATTGCAGTTTTAGTACTGGTGATAGATATGCAATAATTATCTTTCAAGAACAGTTTTGAATTTTTTGCTTTATTTGGTTTGGTTTCATCGAATTCCAGCTGGTGTAAACCCTTTCCACTTGTAACTATAATTCTTGCACTCTTTTGGTCATAGGCAACAGCTTCCAACTGACATCTCATCTCTTTTGCTAATTTGTGTGGTTTTTAATCAGCTTTCATAAGTATCCTTACGCAAAAGCAAAAGCTTAATGGTACATGTGATGTCTAGTTTACATCTGATGTACGTCAATCATTAAAAAATACAAAAATACTGTAGCTGCCATCATCATATTTTTCTCTCTTCTCTTTATAGATATTTCTTCATATGTTGGGAGGGGACAAAGAGGAACATGCTGTGTTGCTATGCAACTATTTCCTCTTTCTAGGCCAGAGGGCGTGGCTTGTATTAGGTACTAAAGTAATAGTCTCGCAGGGCCAGACTCTAATTTTGGCTAATTCTGGCCCCGCGAGACTACTAAGGTAATAAACATAATTATTATAATAATAAATTTAATACTTCTCTCTCTCTCTCTCTCTCTCTCTCTCTCTCTCTCTCTCTCTCTCTCTCTCTCTCTCTCTCTCTCTCTCTCTCCCTCTCTCTCTTCTCTCTCTCTCCCTTTCTCTAGGTCCTACTGCTTATGTATTAACACTCAATCCAGTCTCCAATAGATCCTACATATTATGGAATCCTTCCAATGGGAAGCACTTCCCTTATAACCTATCACACATACCATTGCACAGTATTGGCTGCCTCATCAACAGTGACAATGTTAGTATAATGGAGCTTATTTTATCATTATATATATATAGAATGCATGTACATATACATGTATGTACATGTACGTGTATGTGTAGGTTTGGGGTAACATACAAGAGTGGGATCATCCCAGTCGAGTGACCTTTGACCTTCAAAACAGTAAGAAGTGGTCACCATTGTTTCCTTCTACAATGAACCCATTGGACTCTATACAGGTATGGATAATGCCACTGTACTATTGCATATTGTATGTGTACATGTACATGTATATGCATAGGTTGATACATTAGAATATTCAGAAACAAATTCTGAACAAGTGCAGCAATTAAGAACAAGGTATTGCATTCGTATAATTCAGCTGCTATTTAGTTAATTTTCCTCCCTTTCCCCTCATATTGATTCTCTCTTCTCTTGTATAGGATTGATAGATTAGTTCATGATCACATTGAGCAGTTAAGAGAACATGATCTAACCAGATGGAACAGATTGTGCTGTAGAGTACTCCACAGATTATCATCAAGGTAACCTAAATTTCACTAAATGGGCTCACAATGTATCCTTGAAGCTTAATCCTCCTACATATACCAGTACTGTTTCTCCTAAAATAGGTGGAACATTCTAAAGTCCTCCCAGTAGTTTTGATCACAGATAGTTGTATAAACAACCTTATAAGGGGTGGATTTTATAGTATTTACTATATACTAATTTGTTTTAATGTATTTATCAAAAATTGAGGCATTCTTAATTTCTTATGCACTTTTACTGTTTTAGGTTAGAAGAGAAGCCATTTTCTTCCAGTGAAACATCACAATTGCATAAGAGAGAACTAAAAGAAAGCTTACCAGGATATAAAGTATGAACAGATAGATCAATAGCTTTCCCTTATTATTTAGTTTTAACATAATGCATTTAGATTACTGGTTACCCTCTTCACATAAAGTACAGTGACACTGCTCAGCTACTGAGGGCAGTTGAGAGCACTGGATTGCACTTGTGTCATCATAGAAGGATAGAGTTTGCTATGTATGTCACTGTTCACTCTTATCCTAATGATATACTCTCTGTTTGGATTTATCTTGCTACTGTTACACCTCCTGATACTAACTGAACCTATTCGTTGATGAATGTCTCTGTAGACTGCAATATATTATCATTAGTACACCATGTGGTATCTTTTTAGTTTTAAGATGAATTAGACTTATAATTACTTTGAATTTTGTATATTTAATTTTATAAAAGGAAGGAAAGCAAAACTCTTTGGTTATCACTGTCTGTACTTCCCCTTTGTGTCTTGGGAAAGTTGTTTTATGCCAAATTGTGGGAGGCTTTTGGTGTCACCACAAAACTGTTTGGCTTCCTTTCTTTCTTTGTGTTGCTGGTTGCTGTTAGCCTTTGAGTCTGAATGGCAGTAAGACAAAGACCAACTGTAATTGAATAATGTATTTAATATTGTCATTATTTCTTACTTTATTTAGAAACCATTAGATGTATGTGAAATAGTTGTAGTTGGTGAAGAAGGAGTGGGAAGGAGAAGTATCATATCTAAATATACCAATGATGATAAAGTATTTAATGGTTAGTACTTAGTAGTCTAAAGGACAGTAGTACATGCATGTCAGTATTGTACTTGATTTCATGATTTGATGTATACACTTATATGCTGTCTTTGCCTTTACTATATTTGATATTAATTTATAGGTTCTAAATTGAAGAGAAAGACCATAGAACTTGATTCTGAAACTATTGAGATAAAGATATCATATGAAGATATTCATGATAAGAATTGGCAAGATCTATTTGGATGGGTATGTTGTAATGGTACAAGCACATATAGTTTTATGTTTTTGATGTGTGTTTGTGTATATACAGGGTATATTGCTGGTCTATGATGTCACTAATAATAAATCTTTTGGCAGTATTAAGAATTTAATAGATAGGTTACACAGAGTAAGATTACATATTGATTTATAAATTTATTTTTGTGTCATATCTTTCCTTTCTTGTTAGTTTGCTACAAGAAGTTTGCTGGTAGGTAATAAGGTAGACCTGGAAAGCCAGAGAGAAGTTCCAAAAGAAAAAGGAGAGCAATTAGCTCAGGAAAGGAATATATCTTTTCTAGAGACGTCAGCTATCACTGGTAGTAATATTAATAAAGCTTTTGAAATCATTGTCAGGGTAAGTGATCTATACTTGTTTTACACTGTGTGGTCAAGCATAATGAAATTCTTTTTACAACAATGGTGTATGTTAATGCACTTCTTCAGAATATCAAGAAGTATCATTTAGTAAGTTTTTTGTTCTTGCAATTATTACAATTATAAAATTAATAGGATGAACCTGTAAGTAAATACACCGATAACTAAAACTATATTAACATTTTTATCTCAATATGATGCTTCTGGTTTCAGGATCTCAAGAAGTATCATTTGGTATGTTGATTGACACAGTGATTACTATTTTTAAATTAATAGGATGAGCGTGTAAGCTTAATTAACAAAAATTAATAGCATGTTTACTATTCAATATCATTTATATGATGCTTGCTTCAGTCTGTAAGTTTAAGTTACACTATTCATTGATCATTGAATGTTATTTGTCTCTCCTTACCATGTTACCTGTGTCAATTATATTTCTTCTTTCTATTGGTTCAGCTTGTAAGTTTTATTCATTAATGATTCAATGTTATTTTTTTCTCCTTACAAATGTTACCTGTGTCAATTATATTCCTTCATTCTATTGGTTCAGTCTGTAAGTTTAATTTACACTATTCATTAATGATTGAATGTTATTTGTCTCTCCTTACAAATGTTACCTGTGTGAATTATATTTCTTCTTTCTATTGGTTTAGCCTGTAAGTTTTATTCATTAATGATTCAATGTTATTTGTCTTTCCTTACAAATGTTACCTGTGTCAATTATATTCCTTCTTTCTATTGGTTCAGGATGTAAGTTTAATAATGATACTATTGATTAATGATTGAATGTTACTTATCTCTCCTTACAAATGTTACCTGTGTCAATTAGTCTGTAAGTAAATTATCACTATGCAAATGTTGTGTGAACTTTATTCTTTTTCTATTGGTTTAGGGTGTAAGTTAATGTAACCATTGAATGTTATTTGTTTCTCCTTATGAATATTGTACCTGCATGCATCCTTCAATACCAGTCTGTAAGTTTAATTAACACTATTTATTAATGATTGAATGCCATTTGTCTCTTCTTACAAATGTTACCTGTGTCAATTATATTTCTTCTTTTATTGGTTCAGCCTGTAAGTTTAATTTACACTATTCATTAATGATTGAATGTTATTTATATCTCCCTACAAATGTTGCCTGTGTCAATTATGTTTCTTCTTTCTACTGGTTCAGACTGTAAGTTTAATTTACACTATTCATTAATGATTGAATGTTATTTGTTTCTCCTTACAAATGTTACCCTGTGTGAATTATATTTCTTCTTTCTATTGGTTCAGCTTGTAAGTTTTATTCATTAATGGTTCAATGTTATTTGTCTCTTCTTACAAATGTTACCTGTGTCAATTATATTCCTTCATTCTATTGGTTCAGTCTGTAAGTTTAATTTACACTATTCATTAATGATTGAATGTTATTTGTCTCTCCTTACAAATGTTACCTGTGTGAATTATATTTCTTCTTTCTATTGGTTTAGCCTGTAAGTTTTATTCATTAATGATTCAATGTTATTTGTCTTTCCTTACAAATGTTACCTGTGTCAATTAGTCTGTAAGTAAATTATCACTATGCAAATGTTGTGTGAACTTTATTCTTTTTCTATTGGTTTAGGGTGTAAGTTAATGTAACCATTGAATGTTATTTGTTTCTCCTTATGAATATTGTACCTGCATGACTTGTATCCTTCAATACCAGTCTGTAAGTTTAATTAACACTATTTATTAATGATTGAATGCCATTTGTCTCTTCTTAAAAATGTTACCTGTGTCAATTATATTTCTTCTTTTATTGGTTCAGCCTGTAACCTTAATTTACACTATTCATTAATGATTGAATGTTATTTATATCTCCCTACAAATGTTGCCTGTGTCAATTATGTTCTC